GTCCGGTCCGGTCCAAACCCGAAATGATTTAGGTCCGGACCGATTGGACCGGTTGGACCTAATGACCTACTGGACCTAAAAGACCTAAATACTAAAACTCTACTTTTTAAATTTTGTATTACACTTTGATGCTCTATTTTAATAAATATTTTAATTTATTTAATTTAAAGTGTTTTTTATTAAGTAATTTTAAAAAAATCTTTAAAAAAAACATTTCATATTTGTTTTTATGGTTCTACATTGAAGTAGTTCATATTGTGTATCTATTTTAAGGCTGCCTATTTTTTTTATTCATTTTCTATTTGAATGGTACAAAGTAAAAAGTCTAAAATATATTTAATTGATCAAAATAATTAAAAAAAATATAATTTTTTCGGTCCAATCGGTCCGGACCGGTTCGGTCCTAAATATTTCGGTCCGGTCCGGTCCAAACCTGAATGGATTTAGGTCCGGTCTTCGGTCCTAGAATTTACTCATTTCGGTCTTCGGTCCGGTCCGGGTCGGTCCGGTTCAGTCCGGTCTTGGACCGATGAACAGCCCTAATCAGTGAGGCCTAAAAATCCACGAAGCTGCGTGACTTAGGTGGGCCGCGGCCATGCCATCATGGCTTCAATTTTGGACGGATCGGGTTGCAAATTCCCAGCCGTGACCACATGTCCCAGATATTCAATTGTAGTTTGGCAAAATGAACACTTCGAGAGTTTGACAAAGAAGGAATTATTCTGCAATGTTTGGAGAACCACTCGCAGGTGTTCGGCATGGCTGTCAAGCGTGGGACTGTAGATTAGAATATCGTCGAAGAAGACGATAACAAAGTGCCTTAGATATTCCCGAAACAAATCATTCATAGCCGCTTGGAATGTCGACGGGGCGTTTGTAAGACCGAAGGGCATGACGAGAAACTCATAGTGTCCCTCATGCGTTCGGAAGGCCGTTTTAAAGATATCCGCGTCATGCATTCGGATTTGATGATAGCCCGACCGTAAATCCAGTTTGGTGAAGACCCGTGCGTGCCCCAACTCGTCGAAAAGCTCATCGGTGGTGGGAATAGGAAAATGATCCGGAATGGTAACGGCATTGAGGGCGTGATAATCCACACAAAAACGGTACGACCCATCTTTCTTTCGAACGAGTAAAACTGGAGAGGAGAAGGGACTACGACTGGGGCGAATCAAGCCGTGTTCGAGCATGTCACGGACTTGTCGTTCGATCTCCGTTTTCTGGAAGTAGGGGTAACGGTAGGGTCGAACATTGACCGGTTTGGCTGCGGGCTCCAAATGGATGCGGTGATCCCATGTCCTGGCTGGTGGCAGATTCTGCGGAAGCTGAAAAACAGCCCTATGCTCCTCCAAGGCCGTATGTACCAGGGCTGGGATGTCGGGGGGAAACACAATTGCATCTGTCGTTGAAGACTGGTGGGGACTCTCCATGGCTACTAATTCAAAAAACTGCAAGGGTATATGGGCGGCCAAAGAGCACAGCTGCCCAAACGAGATAGGACGCGGTGATGTCGCATTGCCCCGGAGTGTGATTTGTGCCCCGTTCCAACAAAATTCCATGGTCATATTTGCATAATCATGGCATACCTTCCCCAATGTTTGAAGCCACTGAACACCGAGGACAACGTCGGGCCCATGGATTTCCAAAAGAAATAAGTCGACTTCAAAAAGAGTACCTTGTAACAGCAGCGGCGTGCGTGGGCAGGAGTATGCACAACGCAGCGAGTCCCCGTTTCCCACATAGACGCGAAACGGGGGAACTGGATGAAGTACTAAGGCCAAGCGCTTTGCCACCGCCGGATGGACAAAGTTGTGCGTGCTACCAGAGTCCAAAAGGACATTCACTTCCTGGTTATGGACAGATCCGTCCAGCTTAAGAGCCCGTGGGCTCGGGCTACCGGCCAAGGAATGCAGACTGGAAACGTCGGCTAAGATGACCGCATCGTCGACCCCCGGGGAACTGTCTAATTCGACCTCATTGGAAGGGTCGTCGTCATCAGGCCCCATGTAAGCGAGGAAACGACTCTTACAATTGTGACCGGGTGTCCACTTTTCCTCACAATACCAACACAACCCTTTTTTGCTCCGTTCATTCTTCTGTGCTTGTGTGACCTTGATGATAGGCAGCGGCTGTGCTGGGGCAGGTGTGGTAACCCGCGTCCCTGTGGAGGCCGTGGGTGGGTTGACTTGCGTGACTCCCGAGGACCCCAGGCCCGGCTGACGAGTAGGCCATGGTCGGCGGAAGGCAGAAGAATCCTGGTGAGTTGCTGACAGTTCTCTGGCCAGTCCGAAAGCCTCTTGAAGAGTTCGGGGATTACGCAAATTAACTTCTCGTTGTACCGGTTGACGTAACCCCGAAACGTACATGGCAATTAGCGTTGGTTCCGGCACACCGGCGATCTTGTTGAGGATGGTCTCAAAGGCGAATTGGTAGGCCAGGACCGAAGTGGTCTGGTGCAATTTAGAAAGTGATCCAATGTAATTCTCATAATAATCCGGGTCAAAGCGTTGCCGTACGGCAATCAGAAGCGCTTCCCAACTCGTGCCACAATTATTGGTTTGGTAGTAACGAAACCAATCCGAGGCTGGGTAATCAATGAGCATAGCAACCAGTTGCAATCGTTCACCCTCGGGCGTGAGAAAATAATCGAAATAATTTTGAATCCGGAAGATCCAACCGGCCGGATCGTCCCCGTTGAAGCGTGGTGCCTCCACACGCATGCGCGGAATAGCCTCTGTGTTGTGACCACCGTTAGGAGGGCGGTTTGGTGGTGGTCGCCACCCCGTACCGGGAGGTCGGTTCCAGCGAGGCTCGCCATGTGGAGCTGTTGCGGCTAAAGCCGCGACTTGGCCTTTCGTCGTCTGGAGTTCTGCGCTGAGGTTGTTGATGGCTTGGAGCAGATCGTCCATGGTGATGGCACCTTGGGCCGGCGTCTCAGACATGAGAACGGCAATGAAAGCACCAGATGATAAAGAACCTTGGCGAACAAGGAACGAGAAACCCTAGACAGACGTTGGGTTGCTTCTGGGGAGTTTCGTCCGTGCAAGAAGAGAGAGAGAAAAGGAATTCTACTAAACTAAATCTTTGTATTATTGCTTGGGTAACAAAGCAAGGGGTGTTCCCTTTATATAATGGTAGAGAAACCCTAATCCTAATCCTGTCGGTTCAAGAAAAGCGTCAAGGGAAAGAACCGAAAAGAAAACCCTTGAAGGGACTTATAATTCGTCCACCTAAAAAAATACTAAAGTACAAATATAAAGTAAACATAAAAATTATTAAACGTAATCCTGGTAACGTTGAGGTCGCCGTGTGTTCCTCTTCGGCCGTCCGGTCTGTTGGACTTCCTCACGTTCCTCCTCACAATCTGCATGGTCTTCACGTGTTGCAGGAATAGCATCATGGCCCGTATCCGATAACTCCTCGTGCAACGTTAGGCCCGTATCA